TTTTTAATTTTTTTTTTTTTTTTTTTTTTTAGAATTTTCTCGGTTGGAATCTTTTGAAAATTTTTTTTTTTAATGTTCTGGAAAGTTGGAAGAATAGCGTAAGAAATTTGTGGATATACGATATTGATATTGTATATCCAGGAATATCCGTAGCATTGATATGGAGTAGATAATATACGATATATATCGAAGAGAAAAAAGTTTATGTTTATAAGTGAAATTAATGAAGCAACGAATGCGCGAGTACAATCGATAAAGTGGAAATTTATCCGGGAGTTTAGCACCGTGGTGGGAAAATTCATTCCCGGGTTCATGGAATTTTGGTCTTTTTCCTCTGGCTATCTGGTTCCACTCAAATAATAATAATGTAGCTTAATTACACGAGGACAAGTCGATATGTTGGCGATACAAATATTTAGAGGGTGGACGAAGAGTGACCGGTGGAACCGATGTTATTAGTAAATTAACCGACATCAAAGAAAATGGTAGCCAGTGGTCACTTACTCTGCTAATGGAAAGCGTGCATCCTCCTACGTGAGATATCTATAGATGTACTTACGTATACGCGCGTATAAATACATTTCTATATTTCAGTTATGTCATACTTGCGATCGTTATGAACGTGGAATATTACCGTGGCTCCTCGAAGGGACCGTTCAGAATACCAATCACTCGTTACTAGTAATACGTGTATAATGTATATTTATCCCATCTATCGAATTCGTTCGTCTGTAAAATTAAATCTTTTTATTTTCTTTTCAACTTAAATAATATTATTCGATTAAAGAAAAAAAAAGTAATATTCTCAAAGATGTTTTTTCAATATCTTTCAATATTTCGATATGCTTGATTTCGTTAGAGAAATATATACGTTTTTTCGTATCGTAATGTCACTAGGCTCGACATAACCTCTCCTTCGTGTCGTAGTTATTTTTTCTCTCTTTCTTTTTCTCTCTCTCTCTTCGCGTCGTGGTCACTTTCTTCGTGTTAGATGTAATAATAAATATAACTGGATATATATTGGTTCACTAGTTTTCTGCAAAACTCGAAGGTTATGAAATCGAACGAATATGTAAACACCGTCCAAGGTATCGTATTATGAATGAAGCAATTAGTATTGAGACAGTTTTCACTGAAGTAAGATGTGTTTATCGTGCTAGTGGTTATTATGAAACGTCGTGCAATATCCATTCTTCGAACTCGTTCGACGATCCACGATAAGAAGTATTCACACCTTTATCGAATCGAGAGGTGGTCAGTTCGAGCAATTTCTTTGAAGGTAAGGAAACATAAAAACGATACGTAACAAACTGTGACATGAAAACAAGATCGTATCGGGAATCGTGTGTTTACGTGCGTGGATTTTTTTTTTTCAGATTTTCGTGTTCTGAATTCATCCGTAATATGTTGATTATGAATGTATTCATTTGTAATCATCAATTTTCTTAAAGAATATCTTCGCTTGCGTTTATTATATTTTTAGCAATCGGAACAATTCCATACAATCGTACATATTCTTTAACAAATCTCTGTTGATATACTCAAATATGGCGGAAAATAATTATCGAATAGATTTTTCCTATAAATCATAAAAATAATTAGCACATTTTTACAATATCGTATTGATCAAAATTACCACGTTCCGATCTGATTCGATTCCATTCGTTTCGAAATTCGATATTTATTTACGGTTAAGAAAAAATTTTTTCTATATACTTTTAAACTAAAATATAATTATCAAAATTAAATCTCATCCAACATAATTCGATTTCACGTTTCAAAATTCGATCGATTCGTAAAAAAAAATTTTCTTATTATTTTCGAAATTTCTCTTTTTCGTTCACAGTTTAATTTCCAATTCCATATATTTCAAAATTCTGATTTATTAAGAAAAGAATTTATACTTATCAAAAATTATATTCTCCATTAAATCTGATCGTTTCACTCCAACCTAATCCAATTCCAATTTCATTTCAAAATTCCGACCGATTCATTTATCATCTGAGAGGAGTGCGGCTGATTGGGCTAAGAAGAAAAAGATTCCCCCCTACGTCCCTCTCCTTTCCGATTTTCCCCGTGTCTCCACCATTCCTCTCCACCACGGGTCTTAAGGGTGATTTCTTTTCGTTTCTGGCTCCGCCGGACTAAATTTCGCGCGTTAAGCCCTCGGTGTAATCCTGCCCTTAATATTCAAAAACGTGATCGCCCTGCCAAGCGTCCCGTACCAAGGAACAACCCCACCCAAGCGTCGAGGTGCGCTCGACCAACCGAACCTGGCGAACGGAGGGAAGCTTTTCATATGCTAATTGGCATTCGTCATTTTCTTATGGCGCTGACTTAAGT